CAGTATCACTATGGAATTAGCTTGCCCAACCTTCCTTCCAAGGAGTGGCTGGTGGGTTTGAACCGCCAGCCTTCTGGTTAGCAGTCAAGTACCTTAGGCACTACAGCACCAGAGCTCCCTGAAACTATATTAGCGCTTTAAAAAAAAAATTTATCGTGATTTGGGTGAAAGTTTACATAGCAAATTCATGTTCCATACAGCAGCTCACATACACTTTGTCTCCTCACACTGAATGCAGTTCCCCACAATGCAACAGCTCTCCTCCCACTTCCTCCCCCTAGTTATCTCTTCCCTGTGTCCTTCCCTCCCAGGCACTCCTGCCCCCCAGGCAGTCTCCCTATGCATTCACAGCCCTTCTATTCTCCCATGACTGATCACTTAAAGGAGTGTATCTGCCTACTGTAAATGCTCACCTCCTATGCTTGTCTTTTGTTTGGCTGGAAGCCACAGGTATGGGTTCAATTCCAGACCTGGAGGGCAGCTCTAGGGGCCATAGTCTCAGGGGTTCCACCAGGTTCTATCAGATGATATATTAGGGCTTTTGCTTTTTGTTTCTCAAACCTTGCTTTTAAATAAACAAATCAGAACACAGTCCTCATATTCATTATAATCATCAACTATTTACTATTGTAATTATAAATATACTGCTTTAGTAGTATATTCTTAATTGGACATGCTTTTAGAAGTTTCAGAGTACCTCAACTGATCTTATCTCAAGAGCAGTAGCATCTCTAAATGGAAATAGCCTGGACTTTGGAGATAAGCCAGTTTGGTTTAAATGTGGGGAAAAAAAACAAGAAAATTATTGCAACAGAATTTAAATGAGGTAAGGTGTAAAAATCACATAGCACCATGCCCAGTATACAGTAGGTGGCTTATAATGATACCTACCTTCCTCTTGGAGGCTAGGAGAAGCCTGGAACATCTGTGTCTTTTCATACTCATTACAGATGGGGAGATGTGTATGAAGGCTCTAGAGATTGGCAATTGTTCCAGCGTGCCACTCCTTCTGTATATCAGACTCAAAAGTACGACTCATCCTTTAACTCTTACTTAGGACTCCTTTTACTCACACTTTACTGTCCTTAGCATTGATGATAATGAATAATGAAGTAAAAATAAATGGCACAGGTGTGAAAGAACAATTATATGCTTTTGGTGATTGCTAATTGAAAGCATGATGGAGTTTATGGGGAAGGGAATATATTTATAAGTGGATGAGATGGATCAGGGTGAACTGGGTATTGAAATCAATAGGAATGCCATTACAAATATATTTATATTTCTCGAGGGAGAGTGAAGTTTAATTTCTTTCAACTTCTTTCATTTTGAATGAAAATTGGTGTCACTCTATAAAGTATTTTACTGTATTTATTATACCATACATCATCTGTAAACCTTATCAGTAGCATGAAACTTTTTGAGAAGCATCCTTATAGAGCATTTGGATACACAGATGATCACAATTATATTTCTAGTCAAAAATATTTCTTATACAAAAGATCTGTTAAAACATACAAATCTTGAGAAGTCAAGAAACCAGTAAGTAGAAAGTTACTTTTGAAGTGTGACCACTCACATCAATGGGTGTAGAAACCCCTTTAACCTAGAAACATATGTATATATATTTTTTCCTATCACAGATTCATTTCAGTCACAGCAAAAAGGCCTGTGATTTTTCCATCTGAAAGAATATTAGAGTCCCACAATGGTTTGGATTTTTTATGGTTTTGTGTTTTCTTCCATAAGCTGTCTTCTTTAAGACATGCATTTTTAAAACTTACTGATCAGAATCTTGCTAATACATGGCAATTTCACTCACTGCTGGAGATGTGCTAACTAGAGTGATTACTAATTATACTGTTTTTGAATTTAGATGAAAGGTTTTGAAGTCACTCTGTGATGTGGAATTTGATTAGTTTTGAATACTGCTTTAAATAAAGCTTCTATGGTGGCTGGGATAAGTGGGTACAAGTGTCAACTCTTTCTCTGAGTATAGAGTCATGATTATCATAAAAGCCACCTATTCAGACCTTCATTCTCACCTGGTGTTTCTTTACTTGATGACTAGAAGAAAAACAAAACAAAACAAGAGGGAACAATGATGGCAGTTCGTATGTGTGTAGATTGAAAAATAACATTTGCTTGAGTAGTAAATTACTTCCGGATTAATAGTGTTAAACAATAACAACATAATGGCAAGTGTTTCAGCAAAACTTTTGCTTAAAAAGCTTTAAAAAAGAAAAGAAAACATAATAACTGAGTTCTCAGCTTGAAATTTCCACCTGATTAAATACTGATGGAGAAGTGGAAAAGAAGCTACATGTGTTCACACATGCACACACACACACACATTCACACGAAGTTATTGCCAACTCTGACTTCAGTATTCCCCTCTTCCTTCATCTTTATTTTAACACCCCCTTCTGTTGGTACAGTCCCTAAGGCATTTGACTGCTAACCAGAAGATTGGCGGTTCAAACTCACCAGCCACTCTATAGAAGGAAGACCCGGCAATATACTTCTGTAAGGATTTACTGTCTTGGAAACCCAATGGGAGTTGCTATGCATTGGAATCAACTCTCTGGTAGTGGGTTTGGTTTGGTTTGGTTGGGCTTTACTACCGCTAGTAAAGGGGACATTTCAAAAGACATTTTCCTTGATATACTCGTAACAACTTTTCTAATTATTTAATCCAGTGATATTAATTTTGAGATTTTATTGTTTTCTTTTACCCCTGTAATCATTATATCTGGTAGCATAGTGCCTAAGGCACTTGACTGTTAACCAGAAGGCTGGCAGTTCAAACCCACCAGCCACTCCTCTGAAGGAAGATAGGGCAATCAACTTCCATAGTGATACTGCCTCGGAAACCCAAGGAGGGGTCGCTATGAGTCGGGCCTGACTCGACATCACGTAACAACAACAACTACTAAGTAAAAAGAGGCAATGCATTTTTAATAGTGGTTTCACTTGTTCAAGAAGATTTGATGTATAAAATCCAAACTGAATGAATGAAACTAGAAAGATAGTGTTTTTTTTTTTTTTTTTGGAGCTTGGACTCTAGAGTAGTGATTAGCAGATCTGTTACATGAGACAATGTTTATAGTTCAAATGTATGGAATAGTTACATAGTCAGCTTTCCTAAGAACTGATTCTTTGGTCCAAAAGATGATTGTTGATAGATTCCTACTTCAGAGTGGAAAGCCACAGTAATTCACATTTGCATTTGAATTTCAAATACATCATTATTGACTTATCATTAGTAAAGATAAGAATAAACCTAAATTCAAATAGAAGGATCCAGAGCGATATAATTTTCTGGGTGCCACACATATAGCTATAAATTTTGATTAACATTAGTTTCTATGGTGCCAATCCCAATTTCTGAAGCAAAATCAAGGATGTGATTCCCACATTGCGTCCTTTTGCAGTCCTCCGCTACCTTGAACTAAGTTTAAACTAAATGCATTTATGATACAAGTTATTTATTTTGTTTTCTTCTGAATGGTATGAATGCAGAAGCCCAAAATAATGACTACTTGGAACTAGTGCCACTAGTGAACATGTAATACAGCAATAAAAGAAGAGAGTGACTGCACACTAATCACATCAGACTTGTGTGACTCGAAATTCCCTTAGCTGCCGCCATGTTATAATCCATGTCTTAGCTCCTTTAGTAAGATTTCAATATGGGTCTTGAAACTTTCCTAAGTTTTCAAAAGACTTTTTCTTTATATACTCATAAAGACTTTTCTAATTATTTAATCCAGTAGTATTAGTTTTGAGATTTTGTTTTTTTCGTTTACCACTGGTAATCATTGTCTTTGGCTAAATTGACCCCTTACTAAGTTAACAAGAGATAAATGTATTGTGAAAAATGGTTTCAGTTGTTCAAGATTTGATATATAAAATCCAAATTGAGTGAATGAAAATGGAAGGATAGACTTTTTTTTGGAGTTTGGAGTTTGGACTCTAAAGTAATGATTAACAAATCTGTTACATGGGACAATGTTTATAATATATTCTATATATTACGTTGCATTCAAGTTATATTTGCATTTGCTGCAGTGGGTTTCTTCCAGTGTTACTAGGTGAGAAAGATTACTATGCCTTGGGAATGTGGTCAGAAGATCCTGGGTGGTGCAAAGCTTAACACTTTCTGCTGCTGACTGAAAGGTTTGACTCCATGTAGAGTTGTGTTGGAAAAAAGCCCTGACAGTTGGCTTCTGAAAACTGAGCCATCAAAAACTCTATAGAGCACAATTCTACCATGACACACAAGTAGTCACTGTGCATCAGATACGACTCCACGGCAATTGTTTTTTTGTGTGTGTTTGTTTTTTAATGTTGTTGTTGTTATGTGCCGTCGAGTGAGACCGACTCATAGCGACCCCTCCTTGGGTTTCCAAGGCAGTATCACTACAGAAGTAGATTTCCCCATCATCCTTCTGAGGAGTGGCTGGTGTGTTTGAACTGCCAGGTTTCTGGTTAGCAGTCAAGTGCCTTAGGCATTACACTACCAGAGCTCCTTATGTTTTTTTAATAGTGTGTTCATATTTAATTCTGACCTCGTCCCCTGGAAGGCTTGTTAGAGACTAGTGTTGTTAGCAGAGTACTTCATATTCATTATAATAAATATATCACAGCAACATGCTGTTAGTTTAAAATTGTGAGTCAGTACTGATGAAAATAATAATACTTCCTTTGAAGACTTTATTAAAGCAAGGGCAAGTTTTGTTTGGATTATGTTTGTGTACAAAAGTTCTGTGTTAGAAAAGAAGCTTCATGATTATTTCTTGTTATTGATAATATGTGTAAATTTATGCAAATAGTGAAATGAATAATGCCATATAGGGAATTTACAAAATAATTCTTAATGCATTTTATTATTATTATTTTTGTTTTGCTTAAATCAGCCAGAATTTATACATATATGCTAGAGAAATCCCGGCTTGTTTCACAACCTGTTGGCCAGAGTAATTTTCTCATCTTCTACTTGTTGATGGATGGATTGTCTGCTGAGGAAAAATGTGGACTTCACCTTAATAATTTATCTCCACATCGGTAAGTGACTAAGCATTTTCCTGTCTGACATTTATGGCTTCAAATTGTGATTACAGTATAGTGGCCTCAAATTTTCCTCCTACTTTTTGAGAGACGAAATGGTGACTAAAAAAGAATGGTCAGATACTGTCAGGTTCAAGTCATCTGTGTAACAGTGTTATTATACCTGGGTATTGATTATTTAGTTTCTGAGTGTGTATATGAGCTTGCATTTCCATTTGTGTAGTTTTCAAATCAGAAAAAAGGATTACTGCATATGTGAACTTTTATATTTGTGTTGGTTATTTTGGTGTTAACATTAGTTATGTATTCCTAATATTTAATAGTCTTTTGAAAAAATGACAACTATAATTTGTGTAATTATTATTCACTGGTAACAAATGAAGTTGCAAAATAGATTAATGCTTGCAACACACATAAACTAAAGGGGCTGATTACCTGACCTGGAGGTAGAAGCAGTTGCGTTAGGATACGTTGGTTATAGGATGTTGGTAGAGGTGAGCAGGCATATGGAGGTTGTTGTTAGGTTCTGTCATGTCATCTGTGACTCATAGCAACCCCATTCACAGCAGAGTGAAACACCACCCAGTCCTGTGCCAGCTCCACGATCCTTGCTATACTTGACCCCATTGCTGCAGCAACTGTGACAATCCATCTCGTTAAGGGTCTTCCCCTCCTTTATCAACCCTCCACCTTACCAAGCATGATATCCTTCTCCAGGGAATGGGCCCTTCTGATAACATGACCAAAGTAGGTGAGACAAAGTCTGGCCATTCTTGCTTCCAAGGAACATTCCAGCTGCACTTCATCCAGGACAGATCTGTTAGTTCTTTTAACAGTCCATGGTACTTGCAGCATTCTTCTCAAACACCACAGCCCAAAAACATCAGTCCTTCTTCAGTCTTCCTTATTTATTGTCCAACTCTCACATGCATATGAGGTGATTGAAAATTCCATGGCTTGTGTCAGGTGCACCTTAGTCCTGAAAGAGACATCTTTGCTCCTCAGCACTTGAAAGAGGTCCTTTGGAGCTGACTTGCCCAGTACTATACATTGTCTGATGTCCTGACTGCTGCTTCATTGGTGTTGATTATAGAACCAAGCAATGTGAAGTCTTTGACAATATCAATCTTTTCTCCATTTATCGTGATGCTGCTTATGGTCTAGTTGCCAGGATTTTTGTTTTCTTTATAAACCAAAAAATCCAAACTGACTGCCATTGAGTCAGATTCAACTCATAGCAACCCCTGCTTGGTTTTTCGAGGTAGCATCATTACAGAAGTAGGTTGCCCAACCTTCCTTCTCCCCCTTAGGCATTATGCCAACAGAGCTGAATTTTCTTTACATTGAGATGTAATCCATACTGCAGACTATATTCTTCAATCTTCATCAGTAAATGCTTCAAGTCATCCTCACTTTCAGCAGGCAAAGTTGTGTTGTTAGCATATTGCAGGTTGTTAATAATTCTTCCTCCAATCTTGATGCCACATTCTTCTTCATATAGTCTAGCTTCTCAGATTATTTGTTCAGCATATAGATTGAATAAGTATGGTGAAAGGATACAACCCTGAGGCACTTCCTTCTTGATTTTAAACCATGTAGTGTCCCCTTGTTATTTGAACGACAGCCTCCTGGTCTATGTACAGGTTCCTCATGAGTACAATTAAGTGTTCTGGAATTCCCATTCTTCTCAATGTTGTCCACAATTTGTTATGATCCACACAATCAAATGCTTTTGCATAGTCAATAAAACCAAGCAAACATCTTTCTGGTATTCTTTGCTTTGAGCCAAGATCCATCTGACATCAGCAATGATATCCCTTGTTCTACGTACTCTTCTGAATCCAGCTTGCATTTCTGGAAGTTGTCTGTCAATATACTGCTGCAACTGTTTTTGAATTATCCTCAGTAAGATTTTACTTGAGTGCGATATTAATGATATTGTTTGATAATTTCCACAATATGTGGGATCACCTTTCTTTGGTATGAGTACAAATATGGATCTCTTCTAGTCAGTTGGCCAGGCAGCTGTCTTCCAAATCCCTTGACATAACCAAGTGAGTGCTCCAGTGCGGCATCCGTTTGTTGAGACATCTCAATGGGTATTCCATCAATTCCTGGAGGCTTGTTCTTCACCAATTCCTTGAGTGCAACTTTGACTTCTTCCTTCAATACCATTGGTTCTTGAACATGTGCCACTTCCTGTAGTAGATGAAGATCAACCAATGGTACAGTGATTGTGTATTCCTTCCATCTTCTTTTGATGCTTCCTGCATCATTCAATATTTTGCCCATAGAATCTTTCAGTATTGCAACTTTGAGGCTTAAATTTTTTCCTCAGTTCCTTCAGCTTGAGAAATGCTGAGCGTGTTCTTCCCTTATGGATTTCTAACTCCAGATATTTTCACATTTCATTATAGTAATTAGCTTTGTCTGCTCAGGCTACTCTATGAAATCTTCTGTTCAATTCTTTTGTCTTGTCATTTCTTCCATTTGCTTTAGCTACTCTCTGCTCAAGGGCAAGTTTCAGTCTCTTCTGACATCCATTTTGGCCTTTCCTTCTTTTCTCATCTTTTTAATGACCTCTTGCTTTCTTCATGGATGATGTTCCTGATGTCATCCCACAATTCTTCTGATTTTTGGCCATTGGTGTTCAATGCATCAAATCTATTCTTTAGATTGTCTCTAAATTCAGGAAGGATATAGTCAAGGTCATATTTTGGCTCTTGTGGACTTGTTTTAATTGTCTTCAACTTCAAGTTGAACTTGCATATGAGCAGTGGATGGTCTGTTGTGGAATCAGCTCCTAGCTTTGTTTGGCTGAAGATATTGAGCTTCTTGACACAGATGTAGTCAATCTGATTCCTGTGTATTCCATCTGGTGAAGTCCACGTGTATAGCTGCCATTTCTGTTGTTGGAAAAATGGTATTCACAATGAATAAGTCAGCCTTGCAAAATTCTATCATGCAATCTCCAGTGTTATTTCTGTCACCAGCCAAATTTTCCAACTGTCGGTGATTCTCTGTTACTTCCATCTTTTGCATTCCAGTCACCAGTGATAATTAATGTTGATTGCACACTTGGTCAATTTAAGACTGCAGATGTGGATAAAAATCTTCAATTTGCTCATCTTTGGCTTAGGTGGTTGGTGTATAAATTTGAATAATAGTCATATTAACTGGCTTTCTTTGTAGGCATATGAATATCATGCTATCCCTGATAGGATTGCACTTCAGGACAGACCTTGAAACATCCTTTGTGATGATGAATACCACGTCATTCCTCTTCAAATTGTCATTCCTGGCATAGTAGATCATAAGGTTGTCTTATTCGAAATGACCAAAACTGGTCCATTTCAACTCACTAATGCCTAGGATATCATGTTTATGCATTCTACTTCATTTTTGACAACTTTGAATTTTTCTAGATTCATACTTCATCATTCCACATTCCTATTATTGATGGATGTTTGCAGCTGTTTCTCCTCAACTTGAGTCATGCCATGTCAGCAAATGGAGGTCCTGAAAGCTTTACTTTATCTATCATTAAAGTTGGTTCTATTTGGATGATGCAGCTCTTTCCCACTCATATTTTGAGTGCCTTCTAACCTAAGAGGCTGGTCTTCCTACACTGTATCGGACAATGTTTCAGGACTATTCATAAAGTTGCCCAGTAATATATGAGACAGAGTTTCTCTGCTATTCATAAGATTTTCCCTGGCCAATTCTTTGAGAAGTGGATGGCCTCTTCCTTCTTCCTAGTCTGTCTTGGTCTGTAAGCTGTGTTGAAACCTGTGCACCATGTGCAACCCTGCTGACATTTGAAACACTGGCAGCACAGCCTCAAGCCTCACAGCAACATGCAAGCCACCATAATACAACAAACTGACAGACAAGTTTGTCACCCTTAGCTGTTCAAAACCCCTCCTCCCCTTACTTGGATCCTGCTGCTGCTCAGTCAGTCTCATCACCCAGCTTTGCTTTCCCCTGCTTTCCTTCCTCTTGGGGGTGGGTCCTGTGTCCCTCCCCTTACCTGGATCCCTGCTGCTGCTCTGTCAGTCTCAGGCATATGGATAAAGATTTTTTTTTTTTTTAACGTATTTTTTCATTGTGCTCACTTTCCCCAACTACCTGATCTAATGTGTCTCTTCATAAAAACTGGTCCATATTTGGATTAGGCTGACCACTGTAAGCAATAACAATCTGGTTTAAAATACAGTTGCATGGGACAGGAAGGAAAACAGAACCAGACAAACACTTCACTACCAGGAATCCTTTGTAAGAGAATTATTGTGAGAAAAATCTATGGAAGAGGGAATTCTGGTGGTGGCATGGTTAAGGCATTTGCCTCATAATCAAAAAGTCAGTGGTATGAACCCACCAGCCACTCCATGAAAGAAAGATGAGGTAGTCTTCTTCCATAAAGACTGGCAGCTTTCACATAGATGGAAAGCTGGACAGACAGAAATGCATAGTTAAGAAGGGCACAGGGAGGGAATACTCATAGATCAAAGGGACAGGATGGGAAGAGAGTTTGTTGTAGTTGGGGATGGTAA